TATACCCCACTCTCCTTCACAAAACATTTGTGTGGAAAGCCTAGAGCTTGGAAAATGCATCACATGTTTAATGTTTCTCATGCCATTAGATTCGAATGCCGGAATAGCCAATGACAAAGGGCTAGTCCATTAGATATGTGAAGGGCGAGGTTCAGCTCCACCCCATGTAGCAGCCTTTTGCGATGTTTGCGAAAAACCAGAACAAAATTTTTCGTAGCTGGATAATATTTTGCGCTTCTTGGTATGACGAATTCACATGTCACACTCGAATCGAATGCCAGGACAACTACTCTTCCGGCTCCTGCTCCTGCTCCTGTTTCTGCACATCCGTTTAGCGGGCAATCAAGCGTGTAGTGCAATTCAATAAGCGGATGCTGGCTGGGTTAGAGATGCCACTACCCCCACCCTCTCACTCACTCTCTCTCTTTCTCTGTCTGTTTCTCTCTCACTCTCAGCCTCTGCGTCTTCTCTTGGAGAACTTTATCAACACCCATGTCGGCATTAGTTTTGTTTACAAACTTTTCCGGTTGCCTTTTTGACAGCCAGCCCTCTGGCTTAGGGTGGCTCAACAATTGCTACGCTTTGGGGTGGCATTTTTATTTATGAGCACTTAAATCGAAGCGCAAACTAAAATTGCATTTTGCATCTACATAAATATGCAATTGCGGCCATGTGAAATTCTGAACAGCGCTCGCCCGCTGTTAAATGCTGACAAAAATTAAGAATAAATGCGAGTAACTCCCCGACTGCCAATCCAACCCCAACTCCCGATTGTAGATGACAGCTAGCGATAATGCTGACATCAATTTGAGACTCAATTGAGCTTGGGCCTCAGCTTGTTATTGTTGTTGTTGTTGTTGCTGTTACAAGTTGTTATTCGTTGATAAATGTTGCGCTATCAGCGACGTTTATCGTCCGAGGGACCTTTTCACTGGGTGCGACAAGTCAGCGAATTGGAAACTGTTTTGCAGACCCCCCACGCCCAACCCCTAAGGTAATGAGGGTGTACTATCCACACGCACACACACACACACGGGTGACGTTGTCGCGACTCATCACATCTACTGCCAGCTACTCCTTCTTCTCCTCCCCCCGCTGCTCATCCTCCTTCTCTAAGCTGTTCTCATCTCAGCTCATCTCATCGCTGGGGCGTTGCGAGCAGTTACATGTTAAATGCTTGCTTAATTGCTGTTTTGTCTCTTGCTTAAGAGCTGACCGAGCTGATAAATGACTCTGTGATAACAAAAATAAAAATATCCACTCTCATTTTCATTTCATTATATGGATGGCATGAGCTGACATTGCAATCAGTTTATTTCGATGTATTATGTGTGATAGAGCAGACAAGAATATCCATAGGAAAAGAGAAGTAGTATTATCCTTGAAGCCTGACTTAAGTTACTATTCTTTTGTCTAGAACTTATATCGAATTTGTTTATTTTGTATATATCCGTCTGAAGCTGATTTTCCCAAAGCCTGGGTTCCCGAAGATATATATGAACTGTTGCCTATTGCCTTGTTTAGCATTCCCATTTGACTATTATTAGTCCCATGCGGGGGTCAAATTTAAGCTTTTCCCTGAGAAATTCTGAAACGTAGTTTTAATACCTAATACAACTCTTAACTATACAATTTTCCTCAATACTTCCCTTTGTAAATATTAGAATTCACTATACTATCTTTTCAGGGTTTCAAAAATGCAGTTTATTATTAAAATTCTAGATTCAAACCCCCTAAAATTAAAGCCCAAACTCACCCAAAAAACTAACGCAATAAACTGACTGTGCGACAAATTTGTTGAACACTTGAAACGCATGCAGATTTGCATATAAAACATTATATTGAAGACAATAAACATTTATGAAAACCCATTAAATATAGAAATTAGAGCGTTGCAGTCGGGCATAACCGATTGTCGAATGCGCGTTCATGCTTTAAAAATAACGCTATTTATGTTAATGGCTATTAATATTTTCCGTATATTTTTCACTTGAACTATATAATTGTAGGTCTAACTGTAACATAGGTCAACAACATTAATTCTTTAAAATAATGCAAAGTCAATAATATATCTATAGATAACGCTAGTCTACAAAAGTATATAAGCCCAAGATCTATCTTTCTCTTTCTCTCTCTCTTTGGCCATTATATCTAAGTAGTTACGACCCCATCGGCAGCTAGAAAGAGATACAGCTGAGCATATCAACAAACCAATATACTCGTTCTTTACTTCCTGGACGGGCATAACAAGGCAATGACTACAAATTGCTGCCAGCCGTTGGCCTCTCATCGCTTTACCCCTTAAATGCGTTTAGAAAGTGAAATTTTGATGTTGGTTTTCGTGTCGCAGGGGTTTGTCGAGCTAAGGCCACAAATTATTTTTATAGCTGCGCTTGAGCCCGTTCAGTTATGCGCATTATGATCATGATGCTGAGGAGGATGTTGATGATGATGATGATGATGATATAAATAATAAACCCTTGAAGCCAGCCAGAGGAACGTGCGCGTCGTAAAAGATGGAACAACTTATGCAAACTCACTGTCTGAGCGAGCGAGCGAAGAAGCAAAAATTTTAATTGATGACAAATTCATTAAAATTGTCGTTGGAGGGCAATAAAAAGTTAAGTAAACAAGCGAACAGCGTGGGCGATGTCCTGCCAGCCACAGCCGCAGGATGATGATGCTGCGGGATTTCCGTCGTGCAGCCAAGCGTGAAGGATGCAAAAAGTTAATCGCACAGGCGGCCACACTTTGTAGCAGCATTTTAGACAGATGTGTTAATGTCTCTCTCACTAGACATATATATGTATATAAATAAATATATATATATATATGTATGTGTTGGGTTTTTTTATTGCCTCGCCTGTGTGCACTTGCCTAGACCCAAGCGCAATAAGTAAATTGCGTAAATTTATAGCTGCGTAAATTGTTTAATGACTCAACAGTCTATTTATCCCAGCCATGGCATGCGCCGACATGGCCTAATGCTTGTTGAGGTCTCAGCCTGAGTCCGAGTCCGTATTCAAACAGATTTTTACGACTGCCAGCGTTGAGTGAGCCTGACAAATAGAAAATGTATTTAGAGTAGTGTCAGGGAGCGAAAGGAATTCGAGGTTGTGAAGTCAGAGAGCAGCTGGATTTTAGATCAATAAAACTTGGGATGCTATAAGGCAACTACAGGAAACTGGACAAGTTCTAGTTGGTTGAGAGAATTCGGAAATGTAGAGATTTTATTATATGGAAAGTAAACTAACTTGGCAAGCATGTCTAAAAAAGCTGATCATAAACTATAAAAGTTAAAGCTGATCATCTCGACTTGACATTGAAAACTTCTATTTGTGTTCTTTTTCAAGCAAATAAGCCATTTGGCTTTGCATTCTCCAAGTTTAGATTTTGAATTGAATGCATTTGTAATTTTCCCACCAGAAATGCAGTTTCTTCTATATCTTATCTCTTATGGAGATATTCCCAACACTTCCCAACACACTGCCACAACTTTCCTAAAATCCCATCTCTCCAAATATCTCATGTTCAACATAAAACTTAATACTCAAGGAAAATTAACATGTTTAATGTGTCTCCCAAGTGCCATTTGCAGTCTCGCCAGCAATTGAGAACTGGTCATGCAATTAGAGTGCAATAAATCTCGACAAGGAGAATAAATCTGGCGAGAAAAACCCTTAAATTTTGGTTGATAAAATGCCGAAATTATCACAGCTCTTGGACATAGTGCACGATGATATATGAGCTGAAGTCCGAGCACTTTTAACCCATTAGCCAACCGGAAGATCGCTCAATTAGCGCGGCTGTTGGTCAACACAAGTCGCCAAGTCCCAAGTGGGTCACTCCACGTCCGTGGTATAGGAAAAGGCTTACGGTTTTTGTTGTGCCAACAAAGTGACATAAATCTCTTTTTCTTTCGGTGAAAACTCAACCGGAACGAAAGGCAATGACGCAGCAGGCGCTCAATGGGAGATACATATGTATATGCTATATATCAGCTCTAGAGTCATAATAGGAAAGGCAGATTTATAGATTTCCCATAGTGCTGGGGCGCGTGCGAAGCATCTCTCTATCTGTGAGCAGCATCTTCGGAAGGGATCGAAATGGGCATCGATGCCGGATGCACAGAAACGACAGGCGTTCGATTGAAATTAATTGAATTTGCCGCCCAACATGAAGCGCGACTACAACTTGACTTTGACTTGGGAATGGAATTGGAATTGGATGATGAAGCGTGCATCGGAGTAGGTTGCTTCCTGTTTATGCTCGAGATATTTTTGTAGCATAAATTACGCATATGATATGGGTGGCTGTCGTCGGCGTCGTCGAAAAACAGGAACATTAAATTTATTTTTATTTCACTGGCTTACAACCCCAAATGAGCAGAAGGACATACAACAGCGTTAAGCGCTTAGTCAAGTTTTTGGCTTAGCCCAGCCTCGCACTCCGATTTCTGCCCGCTGCGAATGTCGCACGATATGCGGTCCGTTGAGTTTTTCGCCAAAGTCATGAATTTTCCTTATTTTTATGATTTCTATTACATGTTACTTTTCGCTAGCCAAGAATTTAGTTTTGTTGTGTTTTTGGCAACACAGTCGAGATTTCTATCTTGGGGTTGAATTGAACGGCTGACAAGGCAGTCGCTAACAAAAAAAAAAAAAAAAAAGAAGAAACTGAAATAAAATAAAGCACAAACTCACGCCGGAAGCGCTGATCGCAGGAAAGGCAGACAAATTTATCAAACATCCATGTGGGGGTGTGCGCAAGCATCTGTCCTATTATTAATCATTTTGTTGTTGTATATTCCAATTCTATATCCAAGCTTGAACATCTTAAAGTTGTTTAACAGTTTTCATTCGGCGAATTATAGGGAAAATTTAAATATTGGCGCCTAGTAGGCACCTGCGCGCGCATTCATGCACAACTATCGTCACATTGCACTGGCGCTTATCGCCCACGACTTGAGACCTATATCGATAGTTGGGCACAGTGTTGCACCGCAAGTATCGAAAAGCGCGACCCACTCTATCGTCCCGTTTTATTGTGTTGTTTTATTTATACATTTTTAACTATCTTCGCACCTGAATTTCCACATAATTCTGTAAGTTTCTAATAATTAAACAAGTCAAAATTCAGGTGCAATTAGAGGATATAAAGTTTTTGTGTTGTGTGCGGGCAAACAAAGCCAATGCAAATTCAGCTGCAAACTTGTGTTGTTGTTGTTGATGTTAGTGTGGCTCCCTCCTTTGGGGTGGTCAGCGGCAGCGCCCCAGTTGGTTGCCCTTTTCATATTTGTTATGATGGTCACGCGAATTTTGACCCGTTTCTCTGGCGCCGCTAGCAAATTTAATGCGTTTAAGCGACCAGCTGGAGTTTATAGCGGCTGTCGCTACTGTCATCACCCGCATGCTGTTCGTGTGAATGTGTGTGTGTATTTGTGTGTTCGTTTATGCTAATTAAGTGCAACTTTATTTGCCACCAAACGGCGCGAGCCTTGTTTGCAGCACACTTCATTCGTCCCCACGCACAGTTGAGACCAACAACAACAGCAAAAATATATCCTACATTTAATTCAATTACCATGAGAGCGCGAACCACGCTCCAACCAGCGCTTGACCACAAGGAGTGAAAAGTGTTGAAAAATGTTGAAAATATTTAAATAAACTCTTTTATTTGATTTGTAATAAAATACTCTAATTGAGGCAGCATTGCTTATAAGTAAGTAATTTCATTTGTAGTACGGCTTTCTGTACTGCTTTCCTTGTAGTCAATTTCGTTATTATTAGTGCTTGATGACAGCCTTATCGTCCGTATGTGTTGTGATTGAGAAGTCAATACACACCAAAACATACAAACGTACGATTACGGCGCTCAGTTAGTGATAAGATAAGTCAACGACGGTCTTCTACTATAGTACACATACTTAAACTGTCTTTCAGCAAGAGAAAAAAGAAATTGAAAGAATGCAGCAAGATTCCGAGTAGTGTTTAGAGTCTCAGCTGGCAGCCAGTCAATCAGACAATTGGCGAATTGGCTTAATTAAATGCAATTGCAACCCTTAAGAGTCCGGACTCCGGAGTGAGCTATAAAGTCAGAATCGGGGGCGCGTGTGGATCTCCCGCTGACTTAAAGATGTGAAATCTCTTTCAAGTCTCTGTTGTTTGTCAGAGGGAGAGGGAGACAGAGAGTAAGAAGCGGCGCGTCGCTTCGTCAATTGCCTAATGACTGTGTCAATAATTGAGCATAATTGAAAAACAAGGGGACGAACGACTCACGACTCATCATCATCCACCGAAGCTCGCCTCATTTGTTTACACACTTTTTTGTCTGTATATATATAGAGCTATTTATACAAATTGCAGCTTGCAATTTAATTCAATTTACGGCCCTTTGCAACGTGTGACAAATTTTGTTGTTGTTTACGCACAATGGCTATTGTCGTCTATTAAGTGTTCCAGCTAATTGGAAAGTGACTAATACTTTTGAGCGCCTTGACTATTCATTCACTTCCACTTCCACTTTACCGCTTCCTCTTTTCGTCTTGCAATAAATTTGTAAAACAAAAGAGAAAAAGCAACAATAACAACAGCAACAGAAATTTGCCATCACTAACAGAAATTAGTCATCCACATTAAAGTTGTTGTTGTCATTGTTTTTGCGTTTGTTATGCACCCACTGGCAAGGGTCCCCCAGCTCTTCTTTTAACAGCTTACTCTCCCACTCACTCACTGGTTTGCTCTCCGTCTCTGCCAGTTTTTGTTTTGTTTACATTCCCGTCTGTCTTGACGATCGAGCGCCAAAGAGCGTAGAGAGCGCAGCAGGTGCCGCGTTTGGTGCTCATTTCTTCATTTGTTTTCACTCTCGCTCTCTTGAGCCGCTTGCGTTCGGCGCGCAGCTGTAGGCGCGCTTCAGTTCTGTTTTAGCTGTCGTCGGTGCCGATTCGTGCCGTCGCCGATATCGATAAATTCTCTGCGAAGTATATAAAAGAAATAAGAAAAATATTATCATACATATATTTTTGTGTGTTCTGTGTGTGTGTGTGCATATATGCGATATTCAAGTTCAAATATCAAAAGGCAATAAATACAAATTTAAAGCGCCAGAAATTCAGCAGAAGGTATATAAATATATACAGCTATATATACATACATACTTATGCAGTAGTTATCGCCGAATTTTCGGCTGCTGTACATGTGTGTTAGTGTTGTGTGTGCATGTGCGAATGTGTCTTGTGCGTATTAGTGCGTGACATATGGTGCTATTTCCATGGATAACATACTGAAAGGCAACAACAACAAGAACACCTAAGCACAAATAAGCAAATTAATTGTGTAATCTTGAAACGCGCCCACGCGCCTACATTGTGCTCGGCGCCTGCGCAGCGCGTGAAAATCAAAGAAAATCAAATCAGACTGCAGCCAATAAGAATCCTTGACTCTTATAAATTAGCCAGGAGCAGCGTATAAGTGTTTTATGCTTTCATTTTTTCTTTCTTTCTTTCGGTTTATCTGATGCTGTTCATAAAGTTAAAAACAAGCACAGGCAGGCGTATTACCTCATCGCGCTGCCGCTGACGTAGCCGCTGCCCCTGACTTTATTTTATTAGTGTGTTTTTTTTTTCTTGTTCAATTCTATATTTCGTTTCATATATACATATGATTTGTATAAGTGTTTCCCAGTGTATGTGTGTGTGCGTGTTTGTATGCTGCGCAGCCAGCTAGTTTGCCTAGGCAGCTGCTACTGCGCGTCCTCCTCCACTGGCTGTGCTACTTTATTTATTTATTTTGTTCGTATACTATGTATGTATGTATCTGTGTATCTTTGCGATACGTGCGCGCCATTTGTCGTTTTTGTTTTTATTTCGTTTGTTCGCTTTTTATTTGCATTTCAATCTCTGTGCGCTCAGCTTTTTCAGTTTTTTTTTTTTTTGTCATCTGTCATTAGCCAGTCGCAGTCGCAGTCGGCGCTGGCTTCTCAGTCGGCGTCGCAGTCAGCGGCTCAGTTGCTGCCCTCTTTTTTGGATCGTTTGGCAAATTTCGCTGCTGCGGCTTTTGTGGGCGTATCTTGTATACTCTCCATTATCTCTTTACGAATATATCAATGCTCGTTCCGTTTGTCTTTCGCGCTACACACATTGCTTTTGACCTTATTTATAAGCCGCAGTTATGGTCTGGCCTGGCCACATAAACAAATCACATATAAAGAAATCAAAGCTCATTTTCACTCCATGTCAACGCTCTCAAATTGTCGCGTTCTCCATTTTGTTGTTGTTGTTGTAGTTGTAGCTGTTGTTGTCGCTGTGTGGGCTTCCAATTGGATTTGTCCGACTTATGCATCCGCTGCGTGTACACACTCACACACACACACATACACACAAGCTTGCATACACACTACAAAATTTCATTGAGTAAAAAAATGCAAATGAAAAACTTAACTCGATTCGAATTTGTATCTGGGCCAGTTTTGTTGGCATTTGTGGGCGTCTCAGCTCGATTTTCGTTGGTTTTTTAATTTCTGGCTTAAATAGTTTTCGCATGCTATATTAATTGAGTCCGCATTCGTTTTGCATTTACTAAATATTTACTACACTTGTTTTCCTGTCTCTGTGTTCCATGTCCAAATGGCATCGCAGCTACCAAAAAAAAAAAAATTGATTTGTTGTCGCACAACTTTCGAATTGCGTTTACGCGTTTTCTCTATAAAGCCTATATGCTATATATAGCTTCTTATATAGCTCAAGACGTACTTTATTTTACGATCTGTTATTGTCTGCCTCTTGTATGTCTCTTCTTTATAGTCTAGTGTTAATTGATTTTTTTTGTGAAATCGTTTTAATCGTTTGCAATTACGTGACTTTTTTCTCTAAAGCTCCAGGAAGATAAAACCAAAGTTATATATTAATATATAGTAGTAATCTAAAACTAACCAGGCTTTGAAATTTCTATCAATATTATATAGAAAACTTTAAAGTCTGTACAAAGTATTTTTCAAAATCCATCAACATTTTCTTACAGTTTTATATAAATTTTGTAGTTCTTTGTTACCTGTAAATCAAATACATATACTGAAATTATGTTGTTCCATTTAAAATCGTTGTTAGCCTCACCAAAAGCTTCTCAGACGAAAGAAAGCAAAGTAAAAACGTCGAAAAGCAAATGTTTGCCTCATGTTTCAAGCTCAATTGAAACAAATTAAGCAAGAAAATTGAAAATTTTGTATCGTATCAAAATTCACTGCTCCAAATGGGCAACAGCTACAACAACTGCAACAACAACAACTGCAACAACAACAATATAGACAGCAATAACAATTAAAAAATTTATAAAAATAACAACTGTGTGTGCTCTATTTTTTTAACGCCTCAGCATTTTATTTGTGCACTGCACACAGAAACAACAAAATACATGCATTCACACATATCTAAGTACACACACTCTGTGTGTGTGTGTGTGAGTGTGTGGCAATATATGTATGTCGATACAGATACAGATACAGATACAGATACTTCTGTTTCGTTTATGCCGCCTTTCAAACTGCTGCCGCACACATGTTTCAGAAACAACAACCCAAACACAAATCTACAGAAAAGCACAAGCAAGAAAAAACAAAACAAAAATAAGGTGTCTAAAACAAGAGTGTAGGACTAACAGATACCCTTTAAATTGGAAAAAAAATTAATAAAAGTAGCTAGAGACCCAACATAATTTGGAAGAATTTGTTGAATCTGCTTAGATATGAGCAAATGAAGCATGTGTGGCCCAATACATACCCTGTAAATTATAAATAGCCCGGATATTCAATCATATATTTTCTGAAACGATTTGCTCATATGCTCAGTATATATTTCTAAATATGAAAATTAAAGTCAACTTTCTGTAGTTTGTTTCATAATTCGGCACAGTAGTAACAGTCCCCTCTTTTCGGTCACAGGGTATATTGAAAAAGCGCAAAATAAACCAAAAATACAAGTTTACGTTTTGAGCACTAGAAGAACTAGAACTAGAAATTCAGTATTTCTATTGAGTTCGATAGGCTTTGGCCATATTCCGGCATATACATACTTATATATAGACATTTTTGTATATATATGGTTTATTGTTT